CGGGAATTCAAACAATGAGATTCTCAGACAGTAGAAGGTGAAAACAAAGTAGAAGAATTTATTAGAGCAAAGCAAAGTAAAACTCCCACAGTGGGGAGGGGACCTGAGAGTGTTGGGAGTGAATAGCTATTGTATAGGGTTTATATGGATCTATAAGTTTAAGTCAGTCAGTCCCTGGCCCAATCAAAGTATTGATCAGGCATTTTCTTTATTTGGAGAGCCTGTGGACTCTCGGTCATATATATCCTGATTTCCTATGGACTCCAGGTCACATATGTCCCAATTTAAAAATAACACTTTTAGTGGGGCACACTGGTGCACACCCGTAATCCCAGCAGCTAGGGAGGCTGAGACAGGAGTATTGCAAGTTCAAAGTCTGCCTCAATGAAAAGCAAGACACTAAGCAACTCAGTGAGATCCTGTCAATAAAATACAAAATAGGGTTGGGAATGTGGCTCAGTGGTTGAGTGCCCCTGAGTTCAATCGCCAGTACCAAAAATAAAAATAATATTTTTGTAAGTTTCTCAGCAAAAATTTGTAGCTGCTTTAGTGTGTGCTTTGCTGCCCAGGAAGTCACCCAGGGACCCATTTCCCTATCATTTTAGCCTTATCTCTTCCTCCTGACCTCAGTATAGTAATACAAAAGAAGGCAGAAAATTAGACAAAAAAATAGATGGGACAATTAGGAAACAAATAGCAAAATAATATGTTCAAATATGATCATATCAGCAATCACATTTTTGATAATCTAAACACCCTAATTGCAGGTTACAGATGATTAGGTTGAGTAAAAACCAAGACCTGACTGTTGTTATTCCTGCAGGAAAAGCTCTTAAAATATATGAATAGGTTAAAAGTAAAATTAGCTCAAAAGATGTTACCATGCTAACAGTAATCCAATATAGTAATATTGGACAAAGTAGATTTCAGAGCAAAGATACCAAGAATAAAGAATGTAATTTCAACTAAGGGATCAATTAATGAAGAAGCCGGGCTGGGGATGTGGCTCAAGCAGTAGTGCGCTTGCCTGGCATGCGGGCGGCCCGGGTTCGATCCTCAGCACCACATACAAACAAAGATGTTGTGTCCGCCGAAAACTAAAGAATAAATATTTAAAAAAATTTTCTCTCTCTCACTCTCTCTCTCATTTTCTCTCTCACTCTCTCTTTAAAAAAAAATTAATGAAGAAGCCTTAACTATCCTAAATAAAGACTTAAAAATATACAAATCAAATTACAGGCTGGGGATATAGCTCAGTTGTGCCTGCCTCATGTGCACAAGGCCCTGGGTTCAATCCCCAGCACCACAAAATTTTTTTTAAAACACACACAAGCCAGGTATGGTGGTGTGTGCCTGTAATCCCAGCAAATCAGGAGGCTGAGGCAGGAGATCACATGCTTGAGGCCAGCCTCAGGATTTTAGCAGGACCCTCAATAACTTAGACCTTGTCTCAAAATTTAAAAATGGGCTGAGGTGTAGCTTAGTAGCCGGATGCCCCTGGGTTCAATCCCAGTAACCACCCCCACAAATAACTTATAGGACAAGTAGGCATAAAATCAGCAAGGATAGCCAAGCACAGTGGTGCACACCTGTAATCCCAGTGGTTCAGGAGGCAGAGGCAAGCAGATTGTGAGTCAAAGCCAGCCTCAGCAAAAGTGAGGCACTAAGCAACTCAGTGAGACCCTGTCTCTAAATGAAACACAAAATAGGGCTGGGGATGTGGCTCAGTGGTCGAGTGCCCCTGAGTTCAATCTGCAGTAACAACAACAACAAAAATAAGCAGGGATATAGTATACTATCAATCAAATTTATCTGGTTGATATTTATAGAAGACTCCATCCAACAACAAAATACATTTTTTTCACAGTTACATGGACTGTTTATCATAATAATCTATGTTCTAGGTCATAAAGTAAGTCTATAAATTCAACAAGAACCAAGACATAGAAAAGTTATCTGAGCACAATGAAATTGAACCAGGTATCATTAAGAAAGATCTGGAAAATCCCTAAATACTTGAAAATGAAACAGTGTACTTCTAAATAATCCATGGATCAAAGAAGAAATCAAAAGAGAACTTAGAAAATATTTTGAACTGGGGCTGGGGTTGTGGCTCAGTGGTACGGTGCTTCTAGCATGTGTGAGGCACTGGGTTCGATTCTCAGCACCACATACAAATATAAATAAAGGTCCATCAACAACTAATAAAATATTTTTTAAGAAGGAAAATATTTTGAACTGAGCAAAACCATATCATAACTTATGGAATTCTTCTAAAGCAAATAAACACCTTCATTTGGAGTGTTGGGGTGCAGCTCAGTAGTATTTTCCCAGTATGAGTGAGGCACTGGATTCAATCCCCAGCATAAACAAATCTACCAGAAATTAATGATATGTTTATTATTGTTTTCAGACCACAGATATGCGCAAGCATGCCCAGCTCAGGATGCTTTCAAAACCAAAGCAAGATGATATTCCCCCTCAAACCCTCCAGAAACCATTGTTAGAACTGAAGAAGGATCTCAAAATAATGACTTCAGTTTTCACTTAATAAACAAGAAAAGGAAGAACAAATAAAACTCAAAGGATAAGAACAGAAATAAAAGGTAGAAATCAGTGAAAAACAATGGAGAAAATGAAACAAGATACTTGAATGCCAGGTTTCCTTACAGTATTATTGATAATATCCCAAAGGTGCAAATAATCCAGATGTCCATTAATAGATGAATCAATAAACAAAACTTCGTGTATCCATACAGTGGAATATTATTCAACCATAAAAATGAATGAAGTGCTAGGCAGGCCTGTGGCAGGGCACACCTGTAATCCCTGTGACTTGAGAGGCTGAGGCAGGAGGACTGCAAGATTGTGCCCAACCTGGGCAATTTAGCAAGACCATTTCAAAATTTAAAAAAGGGATGGGGATGTAGCTCAGTGGTAAACTGTCCCTAAATTCAATCCTCAGTACTCCCCCACCAAAAAAGGGAAGGGAGTACTGATACATTGTATAATATGGATAAACCTTAAATATTTGCTAAGTAAAATAAGCCACACACAAAGTCAAATATGTAGTGTATGACTTCACTGATATGAGATACCTAGAATAGCAAATTCATAAACAAAATGTGAATTAGAGGTTACCAAAGGCTAGGGGAAAGGAATGAGGTAATAGGGAGTTTTATTTTTTTGTGGAGCCAGGGTTTGAATGCAGGGTTGCTTAACCACTGAGCCACATCACCAGCCCTTATGTTTTATGTAGAGACAGGGTCTTAGTGAGTTGCTTACAGCCTCACTAAGTTGCTGAGTTTGGCTTTGAATTGGTGATCCTCCTGCCTCAGCTTCTCAAAGTGTTGGAATTACAGATGGCACCACTGAGCTCTACATGGAGAGTTATTTTTAATATGTACAGGGATTTGTTTCAGGTGATGAAAATTTCAGAAATGGTGGTAATAGTTGCACAATTTAAGAATGTATTCAATGCTTTTGAACTACATAAATGGTTACATGGGAGGCTGAAGTTGTAGCTAGGTGGTAGAGGGCTTGTCTAGCATGCTGGATTCCCTGGGTTCCATCCCAAGGACTGAAATAAATGCTAAAATGGCAAATTTTGGTACACATTTTGCAATTTTAAAACAGTGTAATACTAAAATTGTTGAATTGTAGAGGCTGGGGTTGTGGCTCAGCAGCAGAGCGCTTGCTTAGCACCTGAGAGGTCCTGGCTTCGATCCTCAGCACCACATAAAAATAAATAAAATAAAGATATTGTGTCCAACTACAACAAAAAAACAAATCTTAAAAAAAATTGAATTGTACTTTTTCTTATTTTTTTTTTGGGGGGGGGGTGTGTGGATAATATGGTGGTACAGGGAATTGCACCCAGGAGGGCGCTCTACCACTGAGCTACATCCCCAGCCTTTTTCTTTTTTAAATTTTGACTGGCCTCAAAGTTGCCACCCTGTCTCCCAGTAGCTGAGACTATAGGTGTGTGAGCTACACCCTAGCTTGAATTGTGCACTGTAAATGGATTTACTGTGTGGTTATGTGAATTTGTATGTCAATAAAGTTGTTTTAAAAGAGTGCATACTGTATGATTTCATTTATATAAAACTCTAAAAAATGCAAATGGGGTTGGGGGTGTGACTCCGTGATAGAGTGCTTGCCTGGCATGCATGAAGCCTGGGGTTTGATTTCTAGCACCCCACCCCAAAGTAAAATAAAAGGACTAGGGATGTAGCTCAAGCTCAAGTGGTAGCGCGCTTGCCTGGCATGCGTGTGGCCCGGGTTTGATCCTCAGCACCACATACAAACAATGATGCTGTGTCCGCCAAAAAAAACCTAAACAATAAATATTAAAATTCTCTCTCTCTCTCTTTAAAAATAAATAAATAAACAAATAAAAATAAAAGGACTGGGAGTATAGCTCAATGGTAAAGCACTCCTAGGTTTGATCCCCAGTACCTTTCCGCCGGCCCCCCAAAAGGACAAAAAACATATACAAACTAATATATGGTAACAAAAAGCAACCCTAATTCCCTCACTACCTCATTTTTTCCCCTTCATTTTTTCAAAAGCCTTCTCTGGTCCTTAAGTCTATGTTAATATTGGTCTTGGGAAAAAGTCAGAGGTCCAGACCTCTGAGTTTTCCAGTCTTTATCTAATAGAGCATCCTCCACAAATAGTCTACCCAGCAGGCAATTTTCTCCTAAGCTACATTCACAATAAGAAACATTCAAGCCAGCCACGGTGGAGCTCTGGAGACTGGAAGGAGAGAGTGGTCTCATTTCGCTAAGGTAAAGAAGTCATTTGGTACTGGGGTTGGGATCTTAAGTAGTCCTTAAAGTGTGGTTTAAGAGCCTGTGACTCGCTGATAGCTAGGCGGGCCCTGGAACTCCACTTCCCAGGAGGTCTCGGGGCGTCGAGTGAAGACTGCGTCCAACCATGGGGTGGGACTCAGTCGCTACCCGGATGTGTCGCTGAGCTCTCACAGCTTGTCTTTTCTAGCCCCACTCAAGACCTCCCGGAGGCTTCGCCAGCCGGCCAGCAGGCCAGCAGCAGTCCATCGGGCGCTGGATAAAGATCAGACTTTGCCGGGTAACCTTTATGGACAGACAGACCCTCCCACAGCCAACTACCTTCTTCTCAGCTAGAGTCTCCCTATTCCCCCAGGACAGTTGCCTTAGGATTTGAGCTACTCCCTGAATGGAAGGAATTTGCTGGGGGTGGGGTGGAGTGAGATATGTGTAGGTCTGCTAGGTCTGGGAGATTGACCCAACCCTTCCTATTTGTGAATCCTATGTTGTGTGTGTGTGTGTGGGGGGGGGGGCACCTCTCTGTCCCAGGCTTAGTAGTCCTTATGAAACCGGAGTAAACTACCCTTGGTGGAGAATGTGAGGAAAGTGCTGAGTGGGCTTGTGGTTTCTGTGATTGGGTCACTAGACTTGCCCCTCCTTAGGTTAAGTTTCCTAAGTTTCAGATAAAAACCCTCCTCCTCCTCCCACCCCTCCCCCAGGGTTGGGAAGTGTTCACTAGGTTTCCATCATCTACAAGCGCCTTGAAAGTCTCCTTTGACTAGTCTTGAATCAAAGCAGTCAGTCTTCAATGTAAAAAGCTTCCTCTGTTCTGTAGATAACTAAATTGAAGAAAGTAGTAAATAAAAATGGGAAACTTATACTGAATTGTTTTGGTTTCAGAAAGTTAGAGTAATTTTACATGGATGTAGACAGAGGTGGGAAGATTGCAACTTGGAGAATGTGTTATAAACAGTACTATTCTGAGCTGATCCTGAATATTGTTGATTTATTTTTGTACTGGGGATTGAACCCAGGGGCACTTAACCAATGAACCTCAGCCCCATCCGCCTTTTAAAATTATTAAATAGGGTCTCAGTAGCTGAGTAGCTGAGGCTGGCTTTTGAACTTGCAGTCCTCCTGCCTCAGTCTCCAGAGCTGCTGGGATTGCAGGTGGGTTGCCACCATGCCTGACTTGAATGTTGTGAATATATGGTGAATATAGCTTAGGAGAAAATTGCCTGCTGGGTAGACTATTTGTGGAGGATACTTGATAAGACTGGAAGAGCTGGGGCTGTAGCTCAGTGGTAGAGCGTTTGCCTAGCAAGTGTAAGGGACTGGGTTCAATCCTCAGCACCACGTAAAAATAAAATAAAGGTATTGTGTCCATCTACAAAAAAAAAAAAAAAAAAAAAAAAGACTGGAAGACACAGGAGTGCACCACTAGATCCAGCCTAATTTGCCTTTTAATGTATAGCCTCTCCTTTCCACCAAACTAAGTTTCTAGGGTTAAGGAAGTTTTTATTGTTTTTACCCCTTTAAAGAATCCTCCCAGCAGTGCAGTGCCTAGGGTAGAATCTGGGAGAATGTATGGATAGTGGTGGTGATGAGGAAAATTGTGCATGATCCTTGACAAGGACAGCGTGGTGCCAGATGTTGGAGTTGATGTAAACCTTTTCTCATACAGGTGATGAACAACCTAAAATATTTTCCTTTCTTTAAATAATTCCTAGCTTTTTCTCAGAGCCCCCAACCATTTAAAATATTTTTAGCATTATTTTGAGACTTTATAACTATTAAAAATTTCAAACACATACATGAGAAAACAGTGTCCAGAATACATGGGCTTAATACAAATAAGTGAATTGTGCAAAGAAGCCCCCCCCCCCCCCGGGACTTTTGCTAAACCCTGCCTTTCATAGAGATTTTGCTATGAATGAAGGTGTTTATAAGAAGTTGGTACTGCTTTGGCTTTTCTTATTTCTGTGATATTCTGACTGCAAACTATTACCTAGGCACCCAGCCATTAGTGTGCCATGTATAGTCATTATCTGTAGACCATATATGCCAGGAACACTAGTAGATATAAACCAAGATAAACAAGTACAGATAACTTTTCCCAGTTATTTTAGGGGCTGAACTTAGGGTACAAAGTAGTCTTTGTGCTTAAGTTTTACCCTGGTTCTGCAACATACCATCCCTCAATTGTACTGTTGTCCTGAAAGCAGTCCCTTTGAGCAGGAGTTTCAGACACTGGATGATATCTTAGGAGGCTGGAAGTGGGGTTGCATAGGCTAACTGGTATAGCAATTCATAGGAAGAAGAGAATCCAGACAGGAAGTCAAAAAAGGCTATTCACAGGTAGTGTGGTGGTGGCTTTGCCCTGTTATCATAGAATTTGTGTAATTGTTATGCCTATTCCTAGGGCATAGTTGCCCATCAGAGCTGAATTATGCTCTGGACTTTTTTTTTAGGTATGGGATCTATGGATGGTCTCCCTGGTTAGAATTATGTGAGCAGAGAGCTACCCCTAGTGGGCTTATGTGAAACATGCTCTGAAGGCCAACTTCTCTTTAAACTGACCCATGATGAGGGTTTTTTTCTTCTTTTGTTTGCCTAATAAGACAGCAATATGGGAATGTTATTTCTCTAAATTACCAAGGTGAGAAATCCTCATTTTTATCCCTGTAACCAAATACATATGACAATCCCCTTTCCTCCATGTTCTGACGCTTGAAGAAATTAATGTTATAAAGATTGAGTCTGGGGCTGGGATTGTGGCTCAGTGGCAGAGTGCCTGCCTTGCAAGTATGAGACACTGGTTTCAATCCTTAGTACCACATAAAAATAAATAAATAAAATAATGGTATTGTGTCCATCTATAACTACAAAAATATTTTAAAAATAAATAAAAAAGATTGAGTCTGGCTGGGCATGGTGGCACACACTTATAATCCAAATAGATTGGGAGGCTGAGGTAGGAGGATTGTGAGTTAAAAGCCAGCCCTCAGGGGCTGGGGTTGTGGCTTAGTGATAGAGTACTAGCCTCACATGTGTGAGGTACTGGGTTTGATCCTCAGCATCACACAAAAATAAATAAACAAAATAAAGGTATTGTGTTCATCTATAATATATATATATATATATATATATATATATATATATATATATATATGCCAGTCTCAGCAATTTAGCGAGGCCCTAAGCAACTCATCAAGTCCCTGTCTCTAAATGAAATATAAAAAGGCCTGGTGATGTGGCTCAGTGGTTAAGTGCCCCTTGGTTCAATCTCTGCTTCAAAAAAAAGAAAGAAAGAAAATGAGAGAGATTTAGTCTGCTGAGTGTGGTGGTATACACCTGTAATCCCAACAGGTTAGGAAGCTGAGGCAGAAGGATTCCAAGTTCAGAGCTAGTCTTAGCAACTTAGTGAGATCCTAAGTAATTTAGCAAGACCCTGTCTCAAAATAAAAAGGGCTGGGGATGTGGCTTAGTGGTTAAGCACCCCTGGGTTCAGTCCCCAGTACTGAACAAAAGCAAAATTGCAATAACCAAGAATCTAAAGTAGAATGTACTCCACATCATGTACAACCACAAAAATGGGAAGTTGTACTCCATGTATGTATGATATATCAAAATATATTCTACTGTCATGTATAACTAAAAAGAACAAGTAAATTTTTTAAAAAAGAAAGTAGAATGCTTTGCAGCTTAAATTGAGGGCAGGACAGTGACAGGGTATTAATATGGGGGTGTAAACATGAGAGCACATGTTTATATATACTTCTGGAGATTATCTATGTCATATCATTTACTCTGAAATACTTGATTCATGAAAAAATGGACAACAGCATGGTGGTGTTGTTTTGTTCAGATAAGGTGGGAAGATGGTATGAGACCTCTGGTTTTTCTAGCATTGAAACCATATTACAGAATTTTTGCCTTCCCTCAGTAGTATAGTATTAGCAGAATTAAGAAGTCCAGGGCCGAGGGTGTTGTTCAGTGGTAGAGCAACAGTCTGGCGTTTGAGAAGCCCTGAAATGGATTTCTAACACCACACACACAAAAATAAAACAACAACATCAACAACAAAAAAATGGAACAAAATACATCATCATAGCTTCTAACACTTAATGAGGACTGTGTATATGACAGTGATTAATAAATACTACGCATATCTTCTTTTATTTAACACAGGTTAAGAACTTGCCCAAGTTCATGAAGCTTAGGAAGCTTTTTGACTCCAGGAAGTCTGACTTCGGAGCCTTGACTCTTTTTTGGTACTGGGGATTGAACCTGGGGGGGTGCCTTGGCACTGAAATACATCCTCAGCTCTTTTTATTATTATTTTTTAAAATTTTGAGACAAGGTGCCCAGGCAAGCATCCAACTTACAAGGCCTCCTGCCTTAGCCTCCTGAGTTGCTGGAATAAAGAAAGGCATGAGCCACTGAGACTGGCTACACTTATTTTTTAAAATTAATCAATCCCCATTTACTGAACATCTGCAATGTTAGCACCTTTGATAAAGTATATCCAGACCTTATGACAAATGTGTAACAAATAACTATTATATGGTGAGTACCATTTTTCAATCTTGGAAACCTTTCTATGCCTATGTTTTTTGAAATTATAGTTACCATTTCCTGAGTACCTGCAATATGTTAGCACCTTTGATATAGTATATCCAAACCTTATGACAACAACTTAACATTCATACCTATGTATATGAATAGTTTTTAATCTGTCTGGATTTACAACTACTTTTGAGAATCTGACAACTTTGGATCAGTTGTATGTGAATAATTTATTTATACACATACATATAATATTTTCACAATCCCAGAGGTGGCTTCTAGAACCAACTAAAGCCTGTCCTCTCACAGTCCACAAGCTCCAGTGGACTGTAAAGTGTAAAAACAGTTCAGTGTAAAAACTCTTGTCCTATACAAGCTTTCCCAGATTACTCTTCTATGGTGTTAGGGGCACAGGGAGTATGTGTGTGTGTGGGGGGGTGCTTTCCTTTCTCTTCCTTCTCGGAAATGTTTATAAAGCTCCCTAAATTAACCAAATATCTCTGAATATTTTTTTCTCTTGTACATAGGATTACAAGGGAAGAATGCAGACCATCAAATGTGTGGTTGTAGGAGATGGGGCTGTGGGTAAGACCTGCCTCCTCATCAGTTACACTACAAATGCATTTCCTGAGGAGTATATCCCCACTGTCTTTGACAACTATAGTGCCCAAACATCTGTGGATGGCCAAATCGTCAGCCTGAATCTGTGGGATACTGCTGGCCAAGAAGAATATGATCGATTGCGGACACTCTCCTACCCCCAGACCAATATTTTTGTCATTTGTTTTTCCATTGGCAACCCATCCTCTTATGCCAATGTGAGGCATAAGTGGCACCCAGAAGTCTCCCATCATTGCCCCAATGTACCTGTTCTGCTGGTAGGCACTAAGAGGGACCTGCGAAGTGACCATGAGACAGTGAAGAAGCTGAAGGAACAGAGCCTAGTGCCCACAACTCCTCAACAAGGCAATTCGCTGGCTAAGCAGGTAGGGGCTGTGAAGTATCTGGAATGTTCAGCCCTGATGCAGGATGGGGTACATGAGGTGTTTTTGGAAGCTGTCCGGGCAGTGCTTTACCCTGCCTCAAAGAAGAATGCTAAGAAATGTGTCCTCTTGTAGCTTTTGGGTGCTACTTTGGAGACTGCACCTAAAAATGTAAAGGAAGCTTCCTTTGATAGTAGTTGCAAGTGCCAGCATGAGCCATTTCTCTCTTCCCCTAGAAGCCCTAGACTCCTGGTTATTTGGCTTTTGGAGGAACCTAGAAGACAGACTATTTCATACACAACTGCTTTTAAGTTTGGTATGAACCTTGTGGAGGAAGTTTGTGTGTGTCTATCTGTATCCCCTGTCACAAGCAGTAAAAGGAGATGCCACTGAATGCTGTTCTTTTTTCTACTGGCCAAGCCGTGATGAAGCACAGCAATCTTCATGCTGTCCTTGGGAAGCATTTGCTTGTCTGCTTTGAAATCTAACTTTGACTTTCTTTGCTGTATCTACCATTGAGCAAGTGCCTCAGACAATGATTTTTAAATCACTGCCTTAAACTTTTAGATATTCTAATTTTTTTTGTGATCCTGGGGATTGAACCTAGGATCTCATGCATGCCACATAAGCACCATTGAGCTGCACCCCCAGTCTTGATATGCTAATTTTCCCATATTGGTGAAACCTCAGGGTTCTTTACCACTTAACTACATCCCCACTCCTTTTGACTTTTTGAGACAGGGTCTCACTAAGTTGCCCAGGCTGGCCTCAAACTTGTGATTCTCCTGCCTCAGCCTCCTAAGTAGCTAGGATTATAGGTGTCCTAATATACTGAGTTTTTGAAAGCCATTTTATTTGTGTTATGCATGTTCCCAATGTTGACACATTCCTCTTATTCTTGAGATGAGACATTTTCACAAAAATGGTTAAGCATCATTTTCCAAAAATCTGAGCTAGTAATAGATGTTCATTTTTAAAGGGTTCTATCTATTGTCCAATAAGCTCAGGAATCAGCAATTTATATAAAACCCATCAGGTTTCTTTACAGTAGAACTTTATAACTTATTATGTATGCATTGTTTCCCACACTTATTTCACCACTGAACATTTTTGGAGGTCCCATATAATACCAGATAATAGTTTCAGAGAAGCTGGGTTAGTGGAAACTGGGAATTCTCAATGAGGCTTAAAAAAATGCAAAAAGCATAATGTGGTCCTGTTCTTTGATGTTTTCCTCATTATGCCTTTGAGACAAATGTTTATATCAGCCATGGACTTATTATTGGTTCCTCTGCTTCAGGAGATGGGTTTGGCATTTAGTGATGATAGTGCATGTACTGCAGATAGGGTCCCACAGTGAGATCTGCTATTAGATTCCACTAGCACTGTCGACTTGGTGATGTGGAAGTTATTCAATCCCTCGAAAAGCTGTATCTGAGTCTTCTGTGTGGTCCCTTTCCCTCTTAGTCACTTCCTGTAAAATAAACCCACTCAAGGTCAATTCCCTAAATAAAACAAAAACAAAACAATTAAACTGTCCTGCCAATCATTGTCAGGAGTTCTGTTTTTTTTCTTTTTTGGTACTAGGGATTTTAAGAGGCCTGATTTACCACTGAGCCACATTCCCAGACATTTTTATTTTAAGACAGGGTCTCACTAAGTTGCTTAGAGCCTTGCTTAGTTGCTGAGGCTGGCCTCAAACTTGCAATGCTCCTGCCTCAGCTGTCAGACTCCCAAATTATTGGATTATTGGTGTGCACTATCATGCCTGGCCCAATTTTTTTGTTTGTTTGTTTGGTGCTTGTAATGGAACCCAGGGCCTGGTGTATACAAGGCAAGCACTTTACCACTGAACTATATCCCCAACCCTTTTAATTTTTTAAAATTTGAAACAGGGTCTCACAAAGTTGCTGAAGCTGGCCTTGAACTTCTAATCTTCCTGCCTTAGCTTTTCAAGTACCTAAGATTACAGGGTAGCTTGTTCTAGTTTTTTTTTTTTTATCTCTTTTAACAGCTCCCAAGAGTTGGAATATTCCGTCCCCCTTGTGGTTATATAGGATATCAGGCTTTGCTAGAGTTGCTCAGCTTGCCATCTCCCAGTATGCCAGCTTCTCCTTTTCTCCTTGTCTTTTTGACCTTCATTTGGTATGGAAGGAATACTTCTTCATATGGCAAATAATGGTTGATAATTTCTCTGTGCATACCCCATTCTACCATGCCAAATAGCACTGGGTTTTTGAGAATTGAGAAATGAAGGTCATAAGATCTGTACTTGGGCTGGGGATGTGGCTCAAGCAGTAGCGCTCTTGCCTGGCATGCGTGCGGCCCGGGTTCGATCCTCAGCACCACATACAAACAATGATGTTGTGTCCGCCGAAAACCAAAAAAAAAAAAAAGGTCTGTACTTACCCCTGCAGTGGGTAAAGCATTTTGCTTGGGTTATTTTGACTGATGTTCCCTGGGATGCTTACAGAACATAAAGGCTTATACAGGCTAGAAACATGGCTGCCACCTGTGTGGCTGTCTATGAGAATTAACCTGATTTAATTTTTATGGTGCTGGGGATTGAGCCATGGTTTCACACATTAGGCAAGTGTTCTACCATATAGCTACACCCCCAGCCCTTCTTGGGGAACTTTCTGTTTAGCTACTGTCATTTTTTTTTTTTTTTGGTACTGGGGATTGAACCCAGAGATACTTTATCACTGAGCCACATCCCAGCCCTTTTTTATATTTTATTTAGAGACAGGTTCTCCCTGAGTTACTTAGTGCCTCACTAATTTGCTGAGGCTGGCTTTGAACTTGGGATCCTCCTGCCTCAGCCTCCCAAACCGCTGGGATTATGGCGTGCACCCCTGTGCCCAAGTTACTGTCATCTTTTTTTTTTTTTCCTAAATTTTTTTTTTAGTTGTAGTTGGACACAATACCTTTATTTATTTATTTTTATGTGGTGCTGAGGATCAAACCCAGTGCCTCACATGTGCTAGGCAAATGCTCTACCACTGAGCCACAACCCCTGCCCTACTGTCATCTTTTCAAATGATTTTTATTTATTTATTTTGGTACCAGGGATTGAACTCAGGGGCACTCAACCACTGAGCCACATCCCCAACCCTACTTTTTATTTTATTTGGAGACAGGGTCTCATTGAGTTGCTTAGTGCCTCCCTTTTGTTGAAGCTGGCTTTAAACTTGAGATTCTCCTGTCTCAGCCTCCGAAGCTGGTGGGATTACAGGCAAGCAAGGCGCTTAAGTGACTTTTAATTTAACAGTGCCTCCTACTCCACTTTTGCCTAGCAAGTTACTAAACGTAGGCCTGGGTTTTGTGTGGGCGAACAGTTTTCTTCTAATAAATGGAGGTGTAATCCTCAAGTCTAAGTAGGAGTCCTTTTTATACTGGACTGATTTGATGGTCTTGAGTATACACTGACAACTTGGTTTTTATATTTAAAAGGAATTTGTATGAAGATCAACTTGCTGAAATTATTCAAAACAAATGATAATAAACTTTTCTGATTTTACCAGAAAAAAATCAAAGCAATTCCTCTCCCTTCTTCTTTGAGTGCTTTCTAAATTCTCTTCAACTTGCAAAGGATGAAATAATTATAACTGTCATATTGCACAGTGCACCAACATGTAACTGTACTTGTTTTTCTTTACCAGATAATCAGGGTAGGGAACTGTGTTCTAATATTGATTCTCTCATTCTTGCCCCCACTTATCCATCCTCAGGATTTAGCTTCTCTTCCAGATTCTCACTAATAACAGGTCAGTTAGTTCTGTGCAGGCAATTTTTTTTTTTTCTCAAACTACAGTTAGTAAATAATTTAGGTCTTTGTATGTTACAAGCACTACTACATTAGGGACTAAGTGTAAATACACATCACTTAATATCCTTTGCCCCTTTCACTATCTCAGCAATATATCCTATGTGTTATTTAAAAAAAATGTGTGACTAATTCTGGATGGTAATTGGGTATGGTGTAGTGCACTAACACTAAGTGTACTAGTAAGGAAGAGCAAAATCATGTTGTTTCTTTTCTTGGTACTAGGGATTGAATCCAGGTGCGTTCTACCACTAAGTTACATCCTCAGTATTTTTATTTTTTATTTTGAGAAGAGATCTAAGTTGCTGAGGCTGATGTTTAAAAAAAAAAAAACAGTTTTGAGGCTGGGATGTAGCTCATTGGTAAGGCATGTGCTTAGTAATGTGCAAGGCCCTGGGTTTGATACCTTGCACCATAAAAACAAAATACTCCCTCAGTAAAACTGAGGGATAGTTTTAGCTCCATAAAATTCACCTATTTCAAGTGTATAATTTAATAATTTTTAGTAAATTTAGTTGTGCAAACATCACCAAAATGCAATTTTAGAACATTTCTATGACTCCAGGAATGCTTCATGCAGTTTATCCCTGTTAATAGTCCACTGCCATTCCTAGACAACCACTAGTCTTTCTTTTATAACTCTCTTCATCTAGCATAATGTCTTCAAATTCCATTTTATATCACATATCAGTACTTAATTTCTTTTTATTGCTAATATTCCATTGTATGAATATATCTTATTTCTCTATTCATCAGATGGACATTTGGGTTTTCACTTCACTTTTTATTATCACTAATATGTGTGTACAATGTTTTTTTTTTTTTAAGATAGAGAGAGGGAGAGAGAGAGAAAGAGAGAATCTTAATATATATATATATATTTTTTTTTAGTTTTCGGCGGACACAACATCTTTCTTTGTATGTGGTGCTGAGGATTGAACCCGGGCTGCACGCATGCCAGGCAAGCGCGCTACCGCTTGAGCCACATCCCCAGCCCAATGTACAACGTTTTTTGTGTATATATGATTTTACTTATTTTTTATTATAATTAGTCGCACATGACAGCAGAATGCATTTCAATTCATCATACACAAAAGGAGTGCAGCATTTCAATTATCTGGTTGTACATGGTGTAGAGACGCACCATTTATGCAATCATACATGTACTTAGGGTAATGATATCTACCTCATTCCACCATCTTTCCTACCCTCATAACCTCTCCCCACCCTCCCCTTTGCCCAATCCAAAGATCCTCCATTCTTCCCTTCCATCCCCATTATAGATCAGCATCCACTAGTGAGAGAAACATTCAGCCTTTAATTCATTGGGAATGGCTTACTTCACTTAGCATAATATCCTCCAATTCCATCCATTTACCTGCAAATGCCACAATTTTATTCTTTTTTAATGCTGAGTAATATTCGATTGTGTATATATACCAGTTTCTTTATCCATTCATCTACTGATGGGCATCTAGGTTGGTTCCAGTTTAGCTATTGTGAATTCAGCTGTTATAAACATTGGTGTGGCTATGTTACTATGGTATTCCGATTTTAAGTCCTTTGGGTATAAACCAAGGAGTGGGATAGCTGGGTAAAATGTTGTTTCCATTCCAAGTTTTCTGAGGAATTTCCACACTGCTTTCCAAAGTGGTTGCATGAATTTGCAGTCCCACCAGCAATGTATGAGTGTACTTTTTCCCCCACATCCTTGTACATATGATTTCAATTGTTGGGTAGAAAAAGTAGGAGTGAAATTTCTGGGTCATGTGTTATATGAATGAAAAACCATTTTCTTGTTGGTGCTGGGGACTGAACCCAGGGCCTTGAACAGTCTAAGCTCACACTACCAGTAAGCTACACCCCCAAACCTAAAACCATGTTTTGAGTCAAGATAGGAGGCTTTAACAATAATATATTTGAAGTCCTCTTTCACATCCTATAAGCCTCCATCTATCTCTCATTGAATCTGCTTTTCTTCAGGCACAAGCATTTAAGAAGCAATATAGTATATTAAATAACTAATGAAAGGTATATTAAAAACATTTCAGGGGCTGAGGTTGTGGCTCAGTGGTAGAGTGCTCACCTAGCACACATGAGGCACTGGGTTCAAACCTCAGTGCCACATAAAAACGAAATAAATATATTGTGTCCATCTATAACTAAAAAATAAATATTTTAAAAAAAATATATTTCAGTGGCTGGGGGGTGTAGCTCAGTGGTAATGTGCTTGCCCAGCATGCATTGAAGCCTTGGGTTTGATCCCTAGTACCATCAAAAAGGTCAATTCTAGGGGATGGGGTTGTGGCTCAGTGGTAGAGCACTCACCTAGCACATGCAGGGTGCTGGGTTCGATCCTCAGCACCACATAAAAATAAAATAACAATATTGTGTTGAACTACAAATAAATAAATAAATAAATAAATAAATAAATAAATAAAAATTTTAAAAAGGATCAATTCTACTGCTTTTTTTTTTTTTTTGGGCAGTACAGGGGATCAAACGCAGAGCCACTTTACCACTGAGATACATCTCCAGCCATTTTTTAAAAAGAAATTAAAATTACTAAGTTATTCAGGTTTGCTTCAAATTTTTGATCCTCCTGCCTCAGTTGCTTGAGTTTTTGGGATTCTAGATGTGTGCCATTGTGCCTGGTCTAACTACTGTTAGAACATTGTTCCCATGAAGTATCCATTAAAAATATGAGG